TATTTTTTCTAAATTCCTAATTTTGACACCTGGTGAAATAATGATATCTCCCTTACCCCATCCTGATTGCTCTTATAAGTGATGTCAGTTCTGACGTAGCGAACCACATTTGGAAGCAGTAGCGGCATTGACATGCCCATAAGGACGCCGAGCGCAATCTAAAATTAAAGAAAAGCATTTTATTTTAAGCCTTATGATGAGGTTCTAGAGACAAGCCTAAATAAAATTTTGTTGACAATTAACCTTAGTTTTTACTATTGAAAGCCATATAAAAGCCGAATGTGACTTTAAAGAGTCCTGTTTTGACCGAGAAGTCACATGTGCTGGCTGCCAAGTGAGTAGAGAAATGGTAACTCAGAATTGAGATGAAATAGGTAGTCCATCTAGGCTGGGAAAACTCTTTAACAGACAAGGCTAAGTGTTACTCAACAGTTTCGGTATGAGTATGCTTGGAAGCATCCATAACTAATCTGACTGCTAGTTAGATATTATCGTGTTATTGTTTTCGCCGCAAAATGAATTCTAAACCGGGTCGTGATTATCGTGGCGACACAAGTCACCACTTCGCTAATCAGCCTTGGGTGCCAACGGATCACAATACATATGTATTTTTCAGGTTTAGCCAGGCCTCTCCCAAATATAATTTTATAATGGAATTTCCGATGAGGTAAACACATACTTACCATCATTATCAGTGGCATTACTTATTTTCATTATGAGAATATTTGGAAAACAAGTCTAGCTGAGTGGCAACGTGGCACCATAAATGACATTTTTATAATGTCACATAATTATTAGAAATTCTGTTACAAGTCTTTAAATAACTTTAGGCGACATGAGATAAATAAGTTATTAGCATAATCTAACAAACCCCTATCGCAGTGCAGCTTAATAATCGGCATTTGGAAGCGTTTATAGTTTTGTTTATTGTCTGCTAGAGCAGCCTAGGTTAGAGCAAGTTGATCAGCTTACGATCTATTTAGCAGAAGTTTCTATCATACTGACTGAGCTTTACGTCTTTATTTGTCGTATTTTTAATAAGCTCAGTCTAAGAATAGTAATTATCATATTCTCTATTTTGCCCCATTATAACTGAAAATAAGTAAACTACGTGCACCGTTAGTATCTGTCAAAGTATCCGGATAGAACAAAAGTTACTAAATACGAAGAGTAACTGAGCTTCGATGCTAAGCCCAAAATGATAAGGGCAATGAATGTCAAGTCAATATTAATGATAGAGCTGCATATATGGGTCATTTATTTGGAACCGAACCTGCAGATTTGTGTTCTTTGGTGACAAAGCGCCCATCCAGACCTCAGAGAGTAGCTCTTGACAGCAAGGATATGACATAAACCGAATACATTGTCCTCGAGCAGCAAGACGTATAACAGATGTACCGCCATAGTAGCGTAACTTCTTATTTACTAGAAGCCGGGTTCGTTCGCTGTCCTCTTGATAGCACTCATCCAGCACACCCTCTGCCCCTTCTTCAAATTGTCTGGATAATAAACCAAATATGAGTAAAAAAAGGGGATATGGGTAGAAAAGTAAGGTTCTGAGAAATTTATTAATTTACAGTTGCTGTTAATTGTTGAGCTCATCTCCATTTTAGTGAGAGTGCTTGGTGAATAACTTTAAAGGTCGATCCTCTTGACCAGCTGTCAATTGGCTTTACTGGAGCATTCTTGTTGACACTGTTTCTCAGGCAATTGCCTTCGATTCTGATGAATATGTGCTAAGCTTTGTTTCATCGCATCAGTTCCACAAGACTATTCATTTTGACTCACGGACTTATCTGAAAATGCTGTATATATACCCTATATTTAAGCATTTTAATGAGATATAAAGTGACTTGATTAGTTTATGTCATATGTCAATCACAAAGCATATGAATGTATCTGTCTGTGTGTTTTTATGCGCCTTGATGTGTTTTTGCGAAACCATTAGTGATAGCTCAAAGAAATTATAATATAGAACTAACGTCTGATGTCGGCTATCAAGGTTTGATGACCAGCATCACTCCCCTTATATATATATAAATATATATACATAAATAAATAAATAAATATGGCTGAATTGAGATCAAATCTTTAGTCCATCCAGGCTGGGAAAGCTCTTTAAAATATAAGGCTAAGTATTACTCAACAGCCTTGGTATGAGTATGTTTAAAAGTATCGACAACTCTTTGATAAGTAATTAGCTTAAGGGCGGGAAATGGAGTTTTTCACATAATAATATCCAAGGTCTCACGAAACCATATATATATATATATATATATATATATAAACCATCCAAATAAGTAAATTCGAACACACGTCTCTTTAAGTTGATGAGCTTGTCTCTTGATGTGAGAGGTAATGTGGACTAAAAAGTACATAAGTGGCCGTAATTGGAACCAAAATAAGATATACAAATTGAGTCGCCTCCTATTTTCAGGCGGCTCAACATCCTTTCTATCCTTTAGCCTATTAGTTAATCTAAGTAGTTATTATTGTCGGTATTCCTTAAATCAAATGCAAGACTATGTCGGTTGATTTTGTGCTTAGTTGTAAACATATCATAATCACAAGACTAGACGTTTGAGAACATTCAATCCTATGTCGTTTTAGTCCATTGGAACTGTTTTTCGAAATGAAAGTCCCCCCAACAATGTTATTTCAGGAGATAAATCGAAACCCAGTTTCTCTTTGTTAATTTAAAATTAAAATCAATCTGGTTCATTAAGAACAAGAAATTATCTAAACTATCCTTACCATGCTGCCAATGGCAAAATACTAATCCATATATCTGACAAAAGGTCTTGGTGTCATGTAGAAACACCGGATCAAAGACATAAGTATATTAGGGGAGGATGCAGCTGTTCTAATTCAATTGCACCCATTTCACGCTTCATCTGTAGCAACTTCACATGTAATCCGCAGCCATTTAACTTAACTAGCCACCTTTCCTGGTACAGTGTTTTTAGTGAATTATCGTTTAGCATGATGTCCTGCTCTGACGATGTCCATCTTATTACGGACGAAAGCTCACCAAGGATTCACCGGGGTCGCAGAAAGGTGCGCCAAGGCACAAATCTATAACCACAATTCCAAGGCAAACCCCGATGGAACCAACTTACAAATCCCTTCCACTCGTCTCTTCAAACGAAATGAAAAGTACTCCAACGTCAGTCTTAGTGTCGGTTTTACCTCATCCATGAAGCGTTCCTACATTCTCGACATGTAATTATTCGCTATAATGTGGGTTAAACAGGAATCCATTGCCAAGCCTTGATAAAATTTACTATTAAAAGTCAAGTTTATGTTACTCATGGATAGATTTAATAGACTTGAGATTGAGCCTTTGCTCAGAATTGATCCTTTAATAATATCTGGGTGTTCGTCTAGGCAGTGCTAGTGCCTAAATAGTCTTCTAAAATGAAATGTTCTCCTCTCTAATATTTTGTTTATCTACCAAATTAAAAAATTCAGATAAATACTTTGCAGAAAATTTTGATACTCTACCACTTTCCTTAATTATGTGTATAAGAATGGTGAAAACCTATTCACCACACTTACCTCATTATTAGCAATAATTCTTAGGGGAAATCCCTCCTAGGGTATCATTGGAAGGCCGCAACCCGAAGGTGCCCTTGCGCCCTTTTTCAGAAATGAATTGCTTTCACATTTGACTTTTTATCCCTTGCTTGCACAAGCATCAAGCGATTCCTTAAATCTGACTTTGAGGCTTTTCGGGGTGTTGTTTGCTAAAAGTTTGCATGTTTCTGAGTCATTTGAAAGCATAATCACTTATCCATGATGATTACTTTACCCCCACCTATCTGCCCTCTAAACTACTATATAAAATTTATATTCAAATCATTAGATTTCTTGGGAATAATTTCCTTTTTATACTATTCTTTATTAAGTTAAATGCAACTCACTTAATACCTAATCAGAATGCTTAAATGTAGAGTATATATGCAACGTGAGATTTATTGACGCGTTAGTTTTAATATGGTTGTAAGAATGATGGTCGTTATATCCGGACAAAAGCTTAGCATTTTTACGCCGGAATCGAAGGAGGTTGCCTCGGAAACATAGTCAAACATAATGCTTCGGTAAAGCAAATTTAGAGCTGGCCAAGTGCAATCCGCAGTCATCTTCTAGCGAAATCGACTATCAAATCTCTTCAAGAAATATTTCACTTGAAATGGAAGTGACCTCAACAATAAAAACCAGG